GTAGTAGTAGTAGTAGTAGTAGTAGTAGTAGTAGTAGTAGTAGTAGTAGTAGTAGTAGTAGTTGAAGTAGTAGTTGTCGTGGTTATCGTAAGATAGGGCAGAAAATTACTAGCTTAGTGCTTCCCGCTGCGTCCTGGACATTGGAGGGGACGTTGTTGAAGGCCTGATGTCTTTCATGTGGCGCTTGCGCGAAGGACCTCGCGTGATGTGGACGGACTGGCGGCCCGCAGTCGAGAGATTAGTCGGGAGGGGGATGCCAGGAGGTGGAGGGGCAGCAGCAGCACGAAGAGAGGGAGGAGTCGTATGAGTGTGACAACTGATATCCCTGCCTTGAGGCGCCTCTCCCCCCGCGCACTGCCGGGGCCCCCAGGGTGCGGTTTCCGCAGCCTCCTCTACGGCGCCCAGCTGCCCTGCCGAGGCCTCTCGAAGCAGTTTCCGCCTCGGAGTGGGCAAGAGGATGCTCCAAGGCGGTTTCCTCAAAATCCCCATGCGTCGAGGACACGGGCACCCCGTCGCCAGCAATTGGAAGGAGCGGGCGGAGGAGGTGGACCCAGACACGTGATGCCCGGATCTTTTTCCATACGGGGTCCCAGGAAGTCCTGACCCATTCCCAAGGACTGGCTTGTCGTCTTCTGACGGTCCCGGGGCCCAGCGAGGGCCCTGGAGGCCAAACTTTGCCAAAAGCGTCATCTTTTTTTAAACGACGCGCGTGTGTCTGGGGAGGAGACGCGCAGGAAGGGGAGGAGGAGGAGGAGGTGGTCGAGGAGGACGCGGAGGAAGGAGGGGCGTCACTGGGCGCTCGTCCTCAGCCTCTTGGATCTTCTGCGCGGTGCCGTCGCCAGGCCTGTGGGGGTGGCGCGGGTCCGGCAAACAACACTCGCTGCTTCTGGTGCCCTCCTCCCTCTCTCCCTCCCCTCCCCTTTTCGACGTTGGGCGGACTCAAATCTTCAGATTCTAGCGTCCCTTGCGCTGCAGAGGAAAAATGCAATGGCGATCCGACTCAGATCTGGTGGTACCGAACTATGGGAGGCCAGCGTAGAACATTGAAAGGATCATGCACAAGAGACAGACTAAGAACTAGGCCCGCAGGTATGAAGTATACGCTTGCAGCGCCAAGCTGGTGGGAGTGAGGGAGACCGATCCGAAGTAGTACGATAACCCGATAACCATCATGCGAAGTGGCACCGGACGAGGGAGAGGACGAAATACGCGTACGCAGTAGCTGGCCTATGCGCAGTGATATGGTGCGCAACAATAAGAACTCCGCAATACTTAGACAAGGCATGCGACGGAACTGAACAAGCGTGCTGCAAAGTGCAAGTAAAATGGAGCAGGCGACGACGCGAAATGTTGGCTGTATGCAAACTTGTGAGGCAGCCAAGGTGTGAGGTGAGAAAATGATCGGGCACTCGGCGGCCCTCATTAAGGCAAGCGCCCTTCCGCTATAGGCCAAAATGGCCATAAAAGTTGAAAGTGCCCCGCCCCCCCACCGTCAATAGGTACCCACCTCACCCACTCGCCCGAAGCCCCAACCCCACCATGGTGAGTGATAGTAAGCAGACATAGGTATCGACCAACGAAAAGAAAGAGAAGAGAGAGACGGGATGATGTGTTGCTCCCTCCCAGCCCCTGCTTAATCAGTTCCCCTCTGCACCGCGCCCTCCTCAAGTGAAAGGCGTGGTCATTGTCGTTCAACGTTGGCAACTGTGAGAGGACAGGATCACATAATAAAGTGTTGGGCAAACATGATACAGTGATAGATAACAAAGTGTTAATCCATATATTCTTATATAACTAGATATATATAACATAAGAAGGAGCCAGCGAGGCGCAGCCGTGTGACCACAGGTGGCAAGAGGTCCTCGGGGTACGAGGAGGCCTTCTGCGCAGGGACCTCAAGGGGGGAACGCGTTTAAGTGCGGGCTGCGCACCAATATACCCCCCGTGAGAGACCGTGCGGTGACCTCGAACTCCCCAAAGACCTCACCACATTGGCCGTCACTGCACGGTTTTGGGACCTCGGAGGCCTCAGCCGTCCGAGACGTCTTGCGAGAGCGGCACGAGTCCCAAAACAATGCGGTTATCCCGAATCCCTACTGTTATCACACCGCTTGTAGAGGCCTCCTGTATGGGGTCCGGGTAATGAGATGGGGTCGGAGGATCGCGCCGCATCGCTGATGCATCGCCGATGCGCTGGCGGTGTCGGCGATGCATCGGCGCCGTCGGCGGGTGAAAATCGGGCCCCACGTCGATCCGCAGCGGCAATGGGGCACGAAACTCCGACCTCATCTACTATGACCCCGTCTGGGAAGTCCAGGGTCTAGAGCTTGGGGGCCCCCGACACTCCCTGCCGCCCCATCGGGCCTGTGGGTGCGGCGCCCAAACGAGTCTGGCCACGCCCTCGCCCCCCCCTCCCTCCTTCCCCTCCCTCCCCTCCTCTCCCCCCCTCCACAACTACATGATACCGGAGAACAAAAAACGATCATAATCTTTTTAGGGCTATGGGGCTACAGGGCTATAGGGCTATAGGGCTATAAGGCTCTGGGGCTATAGGGCTATAGGACCATAGGACTGTAAGGCTATAGGGCTATAAAGCTATAAGGACATAAGGCTATAGGGCCATAGGGCCATAGGGTTATATGGCTATAGGACTATAGGGCTATCGGGCAATAGGGCTATGAGGCTATAGGGCTATCGGGCAATAGGGCTATAAGGTTATAGGGCCATAGGGTAATAGGGCTGTAGGGCTATAGCGCTATTAGGCTATAGGGCTATTTGGGCTATTTGGGCTATGCGGCTTTAGGGCTACTGGGCTATAAGGCTATAAGGTTATAGGGCTATAGGGCTATGCGGCTATAGGGCTACAGGGCTATAAGGCTATAAGGTTATAGGGCTATAGGGCTACCGGGCACCCAAACACTGGGGCACCCCTGGGCACCCCCGGGCACCCAAGCATGCACCCGGGCACCCCCGAGCACCCTGGCACCCCCGGGCACCCGGGCTGGCCACCGAAATGGGCGACGAACCTCACCTAACCATGTGAATCCGCGAGGACCCCTACAGAAGCAAGCCCTCATCTGGGAACAATATGAATACTATTCTCCCCCCCTGATGACATCTGGAAGATATCGGGCCTCCCTCCGCGCACTGTTTTTTACACACAAGATTCCCGGAAATGGGTTTTCGCTTGTTTTTTTTCGAACTGTTGTTCCCGCTGAAGCGCTGGCTGCATTTCTGCGCCTGCGGTTGTTCCAAATCGTGCTCCCGCTGCAGCGCGGCGTTTTCGGTCCTTCCAAATGGGCTCCAAAATGTAGAAAATGCCCCCCCCCCCCCCCCGACTAAACCATCTGAAATGATTCCACGTTCGGTGTCGATTCGTTGATTTTTTGGGCCGCAGAAGCCCGTCGTCGTTTTCAGGAAGTTTCAAGCGGGAGCCCCATGTCTGCTTTGAGGAGGCGATGTTGAAAGCAGACCCAGCGGGTGATCTCTATCAACCTCGCCTTGTGTGGAGCTTTTCGGGGAGCCCAAGGAGCTACAGATGGAGCCACGACTTCAAACTGGCCCAGACCTCTCAAAGACGATTCACTGACCCTCCAAGGAACCCGACACCATGCCATGAGATGCTGTGCGGTGTTGTGTTCTGCGCTGCTGTGCGATGTCATGCTTTGCGTTGCAATGCTTCACTGCGCACTGCCACGTCATGCCATGGCATGCTACGCTCTGTCGTGCCCTTCTACGCAATGCCATGCCGTGCTCTACCATGCATCGCGTACCCTCTCGCAATCATTGCCCTGCTTGACATCCGACTGTGCGAATAGAAAGGCTATCTACGCCATGGTAAGGGATGGGAGGGAGGGGTAGGACGTCAGGTATGACGCGAGCGCACCTAGCTTGCTTGCCCTCCCTCCCCTCCCTCCCCTCCCCTCCCCTCCCCCTCCCTCCCCTCCCCTCCCCTCCCTCCCCCTCCCTCCCCTCCCCTCCCCCCCCTCCTTCCCATCCCATCCCTCCTTCCCCTCCCCTCCTCCTTCCCCTCCCCTCCCCTCCCCTCCCCTCCCAGTTGGACATGAGTTGGACCTGCTCCGTCTCTCGCCTTGGCACCTCGTGGCGACGCGTCCCGCGCCGGCTTCGTCGCCGAGGCTCTTGCACCGTGCTTGCTTGCTCGAGCGCCCCTGCAGACTTTGCGAGCCTCCTCCTCCTCCTCCTCCCCCTCGCGAAATACCCCGCCAGCTGCAGTGCTGGCCTCCGCCGGCAAGCTCTCCGCTCCACCTGCGCCGCAATCCCAGAGAAAGCCCTCCCGGGGAGGCGGGGAGGGGAAAGAGCACCACCCCGCGGACCGACGCCCCGCCGCCCCGCCGTGCCTGTAGCTGTGGCGCCGGAAGTGGTCCGGCCACGCCTTCGCCTTGAGCCCCCAGGCGGCTGCCCCGCCCGGCGCCGCCGCCCACAGCAGCGCGCAGGCCGCGCCGGCCGGACCCGCCGCGAGCATATTGCTCCGCGCGCTCGCGCGCCTTTGCCCCGGGGAGGCGGAGGTCTCGGAAAGGGGGGTCGGCCGCAAGGGTGCGGCAAACAGCTCGGCAGGGGGAGGCGGCGGCGCGGGCGGGGAGCGCGGGGCGCGCGGGGAGGGGGGCCGCGCGGGGCGCCCTGTGCGCTGCGCGGGCCGGCGGGAGCTTCGGGGCGGGTGGGAGCGGCGGGTGGGAGGCGAGGGCGCACGAGGTCGTTCACGGTTCAGCGGGGCAACGGGGGGGGGGAGGAGGCGGTGGGCAGGAGAAGGGGTCTGTTTGGTCGAGTCCAGCGCGCTGACGCCGATGCCAGCGACGATTTCGCACAGTGCGGCGACGAGGGGACCGAGCGAGGGCCCGGAGAGCAAGGACGAGGCGAGGGCCAAAGGACGCCGCCGGGGTGCGGGAAGGGAGGGGGGGACGGAGGTGAGAGGAGGGAGTAGTCGGGGGGGCCGGGCTACCGGCGAGCGTAGGGGGTCCCGCGCGGCAAGGGGGCCCCACGGAGAGGAGTGCTGGTTCAGGGTGAGGCCTCCTCCTCCTCCTCCTCCCTTTCCTCCTCCTCCTGCTCGTCTTCCTCCTCCTCGTTGTCGTCGTCGTCGTCCTCCTCCTTCTCTTCCTCCATATTTTGGTTTTTGGTTTCATTGATACGTTTTTTTGGTTTCGCCCCCCTCCTCCTCCCTTTCCTCCTCCTCCTCGTCTTCCTCCTCCTCGTCGTCGTCGTCGTCCTCCTCCTCCTCCTCCTCCATGTTTTGGTTTTGTGGTTTCATTCATATTTTTTTTTGGTTTCGCCCTCCTCCTCCTCCTCCTCCTCCTCCTCCATTTTTTTGGTTTCGTCCTCATCCTCCTCCTCCTCCATTAGTTGTTTGTTTGTTTGTTTGTTTGTTTGTTGGTTTGTGGTTTCAATAAAAAGATTTTTCTTCTTGGGGCGGGCAGAAGGGGATCATGAGGAGGAGGAGGAGGAGGAGGAGGAGGAGGAGGAGGAGGAGGAGGAGGAGGATTTAGCCACGACGTGCCATATGCCACCAGCGAACAGAAGGAGCATTTCTTCGAAAAAAAACACGTGAGAATTGTCCATCGGTCGGAGAGGCTACTAATCGCATGCATCAGGACACCTATCGTACACGAGACGATCCACGTCTGGCATGTTCCACATCACGACAAAGGATCAAAGCAGGCAGAACGTGTCAAGTGGTGGAAGCAGCTTTGGCAACACAGTCAGAAGTGGCCGCCAACCATTGTTCTCGCAGATGCCAATGCAACCTTTTCGAGCATACCCTCCCCAGGAATAGGGGGACTGGTACACAGACGCGAGGACACGGACGATGACAACGCCGAACGCATCAGGGAGTTTGCTAATATCTACAGAGTGCATTTACTGAATACCATCATTGAACACGAAGAGAAGGCTACATACACTTCAGACGGAGGTCGGCAGAAGCGCATAGACTATATCGCCACGAGCAAGCAGTACCTTCAAGGAACAACCAGCGTCGAAACACTGCAGGACTTCGACACTGGCACCATCGCCAAGGATCACGTACCTGTCGTAGCCAGAACGAGCCTATTGGTGGAACCACGAAGAAGCGCTACGAACCAGAGAACGATTGACAGGGCGAAGTTACAAGATCGTCAACGACAAAAGAATTTCTGCGACCATTTGAGTACTCTTCCACTGCATAGGTGGGAAACGGACGCCAACAAGCAAATGGATGACATAAATTGTGCAGTGGTCAGTATCGCAGGAGCTATCTTCAAGCCAGATATACTCACACCAAGGCAGCCATACATTACACGGACTACCATGAAGTTAGTCAGGTACCGCAGGTACGTCACACGCGCGTTGAGGATCGCCACGACTACGGCGGACACTACAGCCTGGGACAACTTGAAGAAGTACTCGGCAACAGATGGACTAACCAAGGCCAGCGAGCAAGATGCCTGGTTTAAAGAAGCCAGACAGATGTACATGATCCTGGACTTGTACGACGACGACAGTGGAGGGGAGTTCTCAACAGGAGCCCGACTATTCTTATCACATACTAAGCCAATACTGACCAAGCTACTACGACAAGATCGAGCAGCACACCTAGAAAAAATAGCCAATGAACTCCAAGGAAGCATCGCCAACCACGACGGCAAGCAGGAAGGCGCAGCAACAAGGGCACTACTCCGATATGGCGGAAGGATACCATCACGCAGCTCGAGACGATCACCAGCAGGAGGCCCAGCGCCATACAACGAGGATGATGCTGGGACGGTGCTCGACAACGATGAGGAAGTTGCTCGCAGTCGACTGGTGCACTTTGCCAAGCAGGAGGACGCGACACTGTTCAGCACCAGAGAAATAAAAGAACGATACAATACCGAGGTCAACACCGCAGCCATGCATACCGAGCTTGAACTGGAACAAATTCCGCCACTTCCATGGTTGCAGCACAGTTTCAGCAATGGAAAGTGGGCTACAGCACCAGGCACGGACGGTGTCAGTGCTGGGATTCTGAAGGCTGGTGCTGGACCACTGGCGAGACTATATCATCCAGTCATGTGCAAAGCTGGGCTACTACTTCAGGAGCCACTCCTATTCAAGCATGGCATAGGCATCAGCCTGGCCAAGTCAGCGGAGAAGGCGGCATGGAACGAATATTACAGACTGATCCTCCTCAACAGCGAGGTGTCCAAGCACTACCACAAGTACCTCCGCAGAAGCTTGGCAAGCATGGTCAACATCATGATGAGGGACACCCAGACTGGAGGAAGAGCCAAACGATCGACGGCCATGGCGGGACATACGGTCACTACCTTCCTGCACCTCATCAAGCAAGACAAAAAATCAGGGTTCGTGTATTTCATCGACTTGCGAGCAGCCTTTCACAGAGTTATAAGGCAGCTGGGTATAGACACAAAGGCATACGACCCCGAGCAGCAAGACATAACATACATCATGCAGAAGTGCAACATCCCAGACGCCTTGAAGCCGCTCACATGCCTGGCACTGGAAGCACCAGTATTGATGCAACACCTCGAGGATCGACCTCACCTAGCACAACAACTGGTGGAGACGCATCGGCTTACGCACTTTGGCATGGCCGACACCGAGGAAGTAGCAGTATCGAGGCGAAGCACGAGACCTGGCAACTCACTGGCAGACTACCTGTTCAATGTTATCTTCACGAAGCCCCTGGATTATGCCTCAGAAGCCCTCAAGGCTCAAGGGTTATGTTACGAGGTTCCAGAAAGAGACAGCAGATACCCGAGCCTTTCCAAACACAGGACAGCACAAAGGACATTGACTGACGTATCGTTCGTCGACGACGCATTGTTTGTGGTACAGGCGCCCAATGATACAATGATAACGGCAATGCGGAAGACAGCGGATACGGTCCACGGAGCCATGCTACTCTATGGTTTCGAAGTCAACTACAAGCGCACCAAGACAGCTATTGTACCATCCATCAGAGGCCCTGGCTCGGGGCTAACAAAGAAGCAAGTGTTTGGCAAGTCCCCAGCCACCATCAACTCCAGAAGATACGGACTAGAGGTACATGTCGAAGTATGCTACAAGCATCTAGGTACGATTATCGACAAGGATGGCTCAGTGGGCACCCAGGTTGCCAGGAACTTGAATAGGCACCGAGACGCAGCTGGACCAGTACGAAAGTCAATCAACAAGCTACTGCAACTCAGCAGTGATGCGAAAGTCAAGGTAGCCGACACCCACATAAATGTCCACCTGGGATACCACGCCGAGACCTGGGCAGACGTCAGCAACACCAAGATGAAAGCGCTCGAAGCAGCATATCAAAAGACATACCGTTCGGCACTACGGCTTCACCTCCCCGATGAAGATGGGCAGCGACCAAGTACATGCAAAGTACTATATGAAGCAAAAAAGCCACCGCTACAAGCAGGAATACGACTTCGGCGACTCAGGTACCTAGTGGCGCTACTTGTGAACGGGCCTACGATACTGCTTGAGATGCTGGATCGTACGTGGGAGGCTGAGAACGATGCGAGTGGATGGGCGGCACAGCTCAAACTGGACTTTGCTTGGATCGCAACACACATGAACGCAGGCCCAGATGACCAGTTACTGCACATGACGTTGCAGGCATGGATAGACAGCATTGTGAGTGACCCTGCTGCGTTCAGAAGACTGCTCAAGCAAGCGTGGGACAGATTTCGAGCACAGCAACACGACGAACATCACCGACAAGTATGGCAGCAGGCACTGGCAAAGCTTTACGGACAAGAGCCCCAAGTTGCAGACCAAGACGGAGATAATCATCACAAAGTATTTTGCTACATATGTGGAAAAGAATACGACAATATTGCCACCGTCACTGGCCACATACATCGAGATCACCATGTTATTGACACGGCACAACGTTATGCGGCTGGTACTTACTGCCACGCATGCAAAAGTGAACACCATGCGCGACCACGACTACTAGTGCACCTACGTGCACCTACGTCGAGTGGCGGAATGCCTTCAGCAGCTCAAGAGCACAATGGAGCCGATGCCCGACGAAGAGGTCCACAAACGACAAGAGCAAGACAGAGCAACGATTGCAGCACTCAAACAGCAAGGCTATGGTGCATCCAAGGCAATCCAACCTGTCAGACGGGACGCCCCACAACGGAGAAAAGCACAGCGTCCTCAGCAAGAAGAAGGATACGGCCAACAAGCTTCAGACGAGGAAGTACCACAGCTACAGCAGCCACCACGACAAGCCCATGTACATGCTCCTGGACAGGCCCCGACGTTCCCGCAAGCTCGACACGGCTATGACTATCCAGATGCCACGAGCGCCGACGGGACAGAAGAAGAGGAGGCAGATAAGCGAATGGCACCGACACACTTGCCCACGTGCAAGTATGTACTTCACTTATCCTCAAGCAGAAGAAGACCAGGGGACATGCAGGACTGGATAGAGCAGCAGCAGGACTTCAATTGTGTGGTACTACATATTGATGTTGATGCAGAGGCTGGCGACCTCACTTATTGGAACAATACTCTCAAATTTGCAAGAATGATCGCCCAAGGACACATTTTGGGCATCTTGGCGGAACCACCCAGCGAGACCTGGCGTGGCACCAAGCACCTACATGCAGGACACGAAGGACCCCCTCCAGTACGTTCGGCACAATACC